TTGTTGCCCAAGCTGGAGTGCAATGGCATGATCTTGACTCACTGCAACCTCCGCCTCCCAGGCTCAAGCAATTCTCCTGCCTCAGCTTCCCTAGTCACTGGGATTACAGGCACTCACCACCACGCTCAGCTAATATTTTGTATTTTTAGTAGAAATAGGGTTTCACCATGTTAGCCAGGCTGGTCTCAAACTCCTGACCTCAGGTGATCCCCCACCATGGCCTCCCTAAGTGCTGGGATTACAGGCATGAGCCACCACACCCGGCCAAAACAGCTGGTATTTATTGAACACTTACTATATACTGCACTGAGTATTAGCTAATTTAATCCTCCCTACAGCCCCGTGTCAGGTTGCTGGCATTCTCCGTATTTTACAGAGAAGGAAGCTGAGATCTAGAGCGAATAGGTAACTTGCTTAAGGTTATGTACTCCTGAAGAGTAGAGCTGGAATTCAAACCCAGGCCTTCTGGCTCCAGAACTCGGATCTGAACCACTAAGTTCTTCTAGCATTAGAATGTCAGCTCCCAGACAGTCTTGAGGGGCACGGAATTTAGTAGTTTTTGGAGTGGTTTTTTTTTTTTTTTTTTTTTCCTGAGACTGGATCTAACTCTGTTGCCCAGACTGGAGTGCAGTGGCACAAACATGGCTCAGTGTAGTCTCAACCTCCCAGGGTCAAGAGATCCTCCTGCCTCAGCCTCTGGAGTAACTAGGCGTACAGGCATGCACTCTTATGCCTGGCTGATCTTTCTAATTTTTAGTGGAGATGAGGTCTCACTATGTTGCCCAGGCTGGTTTCCAACTTCTGAGCTCAAGCAATTCTCTTGCCTTAGCCTCTGAAAGCTCTGGAATTACAGGTGTGAGCCACTCCGTCTGGCCGTTTTTGCACATTCTCCACAGAATTCTTTCCCCATTATAAATCTTTGGAAAAACCCAGTATATAAAGCAGAAATGCATAATGGCTCTGATCAAAGTATGGGAGGATGGCCGGGTGCAGTGGTTCACGCTTGTAATCCCAGCACTTTAGAAGGCCGAGGCAGGTGGATCACTGGAGGTTAGGAGTTCGAGACCAGCCTGACCAACATGGCGAAACCCCGTCTCTACTAAAAATACAAAAACTAGCTGGGAATGGTGGTAGGTGCCTGTAATCCCAGCTATTTGGAAGGCTGAGGCAAGAAAATGGCTTGAATCCGGGATGCAGAAGTTGCAGTGGGCTGAGATCGTGCCACTG